CTATCCCAGTGAAGGTCAGGGTTCTGCTGTGCTCCCTTGGTCACTGCTTCAGACAGTTAGTGGTGTAAAAAGCAGTGGTGTTGAATAGGCTCTGACTTAACTCAGGCTTAATTCTTAATTCTGACTTAACTCAGCTGACTTAAACCTGTTGTCTCTCCACAGATCTAGAAATTGTTGGGTTTGTAGATATAGCTGACATTTCTAGCCCTCCTGTCTTATCCAGACACTTGGTGCTGCCTATTGCACTTAACAGAGGTAAGCAAATTCTTGTATTGATAACTGATTTAAGCTTCCCCTCTAATGGCTGTGGTGGTTTTGTTGAGAAGGAAATGTTATGCTTTATGCCAAATGTCTCTAAGGACACTTTACATGTTTGCATTAAGATCAAAACCTTGGACAGAAGATCTGTCCTTTTCTGAACAGCGTGTTCTTTGGAAAAACCATCTGTACACAAAGCAGTGAATTAGTAGAGAGAACAGTGTCATTGTACCATTGTTATGAGTAGAGAATATTAAACTTACAGCTACAGATACTTATGGGTCATGAAGTATGTGGTGCGAGATGAATAATTAATACTGGCTTCTAAATCGTTCTTGGAATGATTTCTTGCTGTGAAAAATCTGATCTGAGTAACGTCTAGATTGCTGAGTTGTTCTTCAGCACTAATTGCTGCTCGTTGAGTCTAAGTGTATATGAATCTCTACAAACAACTTGTGCAGGCTTCAAGAACGACTGAAGCCTGGGGTATGGAGCTGGATGTCTGCCTGAAAGATCTCCCTTACTTTGCTCATTTATGCTTCACCCTCTACAGAACTTGCATCACTAGACAAAGCCATGGATTTGTGGCTTGCAGTGACTTGTCTGCTTGGAAGGCCTTCCCAACTCCTTTTGTCAAGGTCTTGGGATGGAACTAAAAGAAACTGAGATTTCTTTTGATAAAGAACAGTGAAAGCCCCAGATGTGCTTCCGTCTCTGCATTAGCACTCTTATCCTGCTAGGCCTTTCATTTTAAAATATATTAACAGTTACATCATAGCTGTTTTCCAATTGCTGAAACACAGAAAGTTTCTCGTGATGACCACAAATTGCATAGGGAGAGGTGGGCTTGAGGTTCAGGATGCTTTGGTTCAGAAGCAGCCGTGTTATTAACTGCCACTCTTGGTGCCTTTGCACTTCTAGTTTCTTCAGAGGTTTATTTGAAGAGTTATTTGTTAAATGTGTGAGGTTTTGTGATCAGAATGTAGTAGAATAATCATAGAACATTATATTGTCAGTTTGTCCCAACACGTAACAGCCATTTGTTCTAGAAGAGTGTTTATTGAAAGTTATGTTGTTGAACAGAGCTGTTTTCATCCAGTCTCATTCAGCTGAAGCAGAAGGGTTTGCCATCACTGCCAGTTTCGGTTGCTCTTTTTTGCTCCCTTGTCTGGGATTACCTGCCCTCTCATGAAATGGGTTGGGTAACTTAAATAAACAAGCAAATAAAAACATGAATCTTGATTAATGCAGCTTATTTTGACTGGCACAGGCTGTGGAGTGACTGTACAAAGAGCTCTGTGAGGAGATCAGAGGGCAGCTGCAGCCAGGTGGCTGGAAGGTTAGGAGGCGCTAGGAGTGTCTTCAGTCTTTGCTGCTGTGATAAGCACTGGTGGTTGTGTTCAAAAAATCTGATATTACAGCACCATCAGTTCTCAGAATAGCTTGAGCATGGGAACAGCAGCCTTTCCTAAGAAGGGAAGCCACTTAAAAAGTATATTTGCAGAATGAAGCTTGGGTTAAAGGTTCTTCATGGCAGAGGATACGGAATGGTAGTGTTGTGGGAATAGAAGTACTGTGTTTGAATTAATGTTGTCCCTCTGTTTGCTTTTCTTCACCAGAAGGTGATGAGGTGGGACCCGGGATCACAGATGACACCGAAGATGAGAATTCAGCTAATCAAATTGCTGGGAAAATTCCCAACTTCTGTGTTTTGTTACATGGGAGCCTGAAAGTGGAAGGCATGGTGGCTGTCGTCCAGTTGGGGTATGGAGCTGGATGTCTGCCTGAAAGATCTCTCTTACTTTGCTCATTTATGCTTCACCCTCTACAGAACTTGCATCACTAGACAAAGCCATGGATTTTTAACTGTAGACATGTTTCTGCCAGTATTAATTACAAATAGTGACTCTCCACACGGTGGAAGAAAGGCAAATTCTGTGTTAAGACAGTTGGAAAGTGTTCAGACTTTGGGATTTGCTCTTTTCAATAGGCCAGAATGGTATGGGATGCTCTATTCACAAGCTGATAGCAAGAAGAAATCAAACCTCATGATGTCACTCTTTGAACCTGGTCCTGAGCCCCTTCCATGGCTAGGGAAGATGGCACAGCTTGGACCTATTTCAGGTACTGGTCACATTCATTGGAGTAACTTTGGAATTTGGCATTTTCTTGCATGAGTGACCTTGCCAGATCTTATTCATGAAGTCTTTTTATTCCCTAGATGCAAAGGAAAATCCTTATGGAGATGATGACAATAAGAGTCCTTTCCCCTTGCAGCCCAAGAACAAGCGCAGCTATGCACAGAACGTTACTGTGTGGATTAAACCAAGTGGCCTCCAGGTACAGATTTTGGACCTGATGCTTTACTCTAATCAGCACTAGCTTTCTCAGCTGCAAAATGGAGTCTGTGTGTGTCTCATCCACTTGATGTAATTGCTTTATTGCTTTCCTTTCATTTTTATAACAACTGCCTCAGTAAAATGCGATGATTAAATTGCAATCAGAAAGCATAGTTTGTTTAATGAAAGCTGCATCTGGCTTTCTTTATTGGATTTAGTATAATTACTGCTTGTTTCAGTCTTTGTGAGCTGAAGTCTCGTCTGTGGTCAGGATTATTTATCAGTAAGTAGTGTGGACATTTTTCTGCAGTTTACCCAACAGTTGACGAGATCTTTTCTTTCCTTTCTGCAGACTGATGTACAGAAGATCTTGAGAAATGCACGGAAACTCCCTGAAAAAACCCAGACTTTCTATAAAGTGAGTCTTGTTACAGGCCAGCCTGAATTTTTGATCCGTAGTGATAGTGGTGCATCTGACCTGTCCTGACCATCGTTCTGTGCAGGGCTTGAAGAGCTCTGCAGAAGCACACATTGTTCTGTGAAGAGACACCTTGGGTCCTTTTTATGGACTAGTTAAAGAGAGACAGGGAAGTCTGATTTCCTGCCGTTACATTTTTTGCCAGGCTGACAGACGTGTCACGTTTACAGGTGACCCTCATGATCCCTGCTACTTTGATGGTGAACTTCAGTGCAGTTTTTATGCTTTTGTCCAGAGTCACCCTGTTACTTTGATAGTGAACTTACGTGCAGATCTTACTCTTTTGTCTGGGCAGAAACAAACTGAGGGATCAAAGAGGAACAAGAACATGAGTGTCTATCTGAACCTGAAAGTATATCCTATGTTTTTTCTACAAGGGAAGCAAAGAAACAAAATTCCAGGCACTTCTGGCCATGTCATAAAAACCCATAATCTGGGCTGTAGCCAGAGGTAACTGTTGTTCCTCTTGTAAGCAAAGTACTGAAGCAGTTGATTATTGTAGTCTCCAGAGACCTGAAGAACAAATACACTTCTTAAATGCACACAAGCACCTATCATAGTTTACAATGAAGAAAAATAGATCTTATGTTTTTCTGGGCACTGTGGTTAGAGGCTGCAATTGGTCAGGTCCAACTTGGAAGTCACTCCCAGCAGGGACACAAAACAAGCACACACAATAGCTGAATGCACAGAAAGGAGAAGTGAGGGATTTCTAAGAAGGGATGAAGGGAAAACTAGCTCTTTGCCTGTGCTGCTGTAATCCTCAGTTCTGAAGCGTTTTCTTGTCATGAGCAGCTAGGCGTCTTGCAGCAGCTCCACTTCACACCGGTCATTTTCCTTTAACTGAGTAAGCTTGCATTTAACAGTAAGAAATGTAATATATCTTTTTAAAGCCACCATGAGACTTTGTATAAAAGGAGTTGTTGTTCTTTGCAGGAACTTAACCGTCTGAGAAAGGCAGCTCTGGCCTTTGGCTTTTTGGACCTCTTGAAAGGTGTGGCAGACATGCTGGAGCGGGAGTGCACCCTGCTTCCTGACACGGCTCACCCCGACGCGGCGTTTCAGCTCACGCACGCCGCTCAGCAGCTGAAAGTGGCAAGTACTGGGGCATCAGAGTACACTGCCTATGATCACAACATTGCTCCTCTGCAGACAGACTTTCCCACTACTGGCACTGAAAGAATGTAAAGTCTCCAATTTGGGAACTTCTCTACACTGAGACTCGTGTCACTCAAATTTTCTTGTTTACTTTCTACGGCTTCTTTAATTACTGGAACTTCCTATTATAACAGGGAACTTCACTTGCATAAGTGCTCTCCAAATACATGTAGCTTGTCTGTGGTAGCTTCAGTCAGGCCTACAAACTCTAGAAAGTGTCCCATAGCGATTGGTGTGTTGGAGGTTGCATGTGAGGAGACAGAGAACATAGCATCACAGGCCTCAGACTCTCTGTGGCTTTTAGCCTTTCCCAAATGTGGTTGATATATAAATGAAATCAGTAGTAAAAGCATCCTAAAAGGCAGCTACTGTTGTTTTACAGATGGATTTGAGTAGTCCAGAGAAAGTGTGTGAGAATCACTGCACAAGATCAGACATGCAGCTAATTTCAAGGTGTTATCACTGATTACTAATCTGTATGGCAATAATGTACATCACTGGCAGTGCAGTGCTTATGCTTTTGAAAATAACTTAATCTTTTGAGACAAATTTTTTATTTGTGTAATTTTAATAAAAAGGAATTCTTCAGGAAGTTTATTTTGTTCCATTCTCGTAGCAACTTTGCAGTGTGCAACCTTAGGCATGCACAAGCCTAAAACATCGACTTGGTGAAGGTCAGACTCCATCTGCTTATCATGAGAGTTAAGTAATAAATTATACAGCTTACTGCATTCAGGGAAAAAGCAAACAACAGAACTGATGCAAAATCTGGCTGTAAATCTTTATTAATAGAAACACATTCTTTCTGAAGGACAAAAACTCAGTCATTTAAGATCCATTACAGTTCGTACGAGGTACCACAATTTCACTGAGAAACATCATGTATGAGTACATACAGATTTTATAACAGAAGTTTAAATGCCCAGTAAAGAAATTAAAAGTGTGAAAGGGATCCTTGCTGTTCCAAGCCAGCTAACTCAGTCCTTCGATGTACATCAAACATCTGTACAGTGTGTACTGTAGTGAAATAGTGTGTAAATTATGCTCAGCTCTTGAGAAAGTTACCTGCACTCTCCTCTGCAAGTGAGCCTCACGTATCTCTAAAGAGAAGTTGCATCATGCCTCTTGTTGACAAAACAATTGTGAAATGCAGTGTGGAGCTTGTATCAGTTTTTTGGTACAGTCTTTATAGCACTGTTTTCCTTCCTTTCCAGTAATAATCACTGGGTCCATGTCATAAATAGTAAGCTGTTTGTTAACTTTAAGTATAGAAAATAACTTCCAGGAGGATTCATATCATTTCACAGTAGAAAAAGATAACACAAGTAGTAAGATGACACTTCAGCTAATCTCAGTTTTGGTGCCTTATCTGGATTGCTGGTATTGCTTGCAGTACCCTGGGGCCAGCAGCAGCTGTGAAGCAGCTTGTTTATAACCATAATTTTTCTAAACTAGATTAAAGGGACCAGAGGAGTTGAGAATCAACTACAAGAGGCTAGGTGTGAGGAAGGGCACATGGAAATGAAGTCAACTGAAACAGTTTTCAGGTAAGAGAGTACGTGACCTGGGATGTGAAGGAAACAGCTCTTGTTTAAAGCTAATACAGAGGAAAGGGTCCCTTCACACCCTAGGTAGGATCTCCCTTACTGAGATGTATGGCATGAAAATTATAGATTATTTGTCAACCCATCACTCCATCCCATCAGGGAACAGCCAAGAAAGCATATACACAAATTTAAATGTGCAGCTGATAAAATGAAGTAGAAAGACATTCTTGATTGCTTTTCCAAGGCTATAAGGGAGCCACAGCCCTGGTAGGAACTATCAGAGGAGTTCAGTCTCCCAGGGCAGCTCCAGATTTTTACTCTGTGTGAATGGGATGGAGTTCTTCTGGGGTTCACATGCTAGGAGAAAGCTGGTACCTGTATTTTCTTGTCTCCTTGTATTTCAGTGCTGACATTATCAATCAGAAAAGCATTTCTGTCCACGGGACACAGCGGCAGCTTCCTTTCCCTACTGATGCTACAGGTACATGGGTGTTGGTACGGCCCACAAGATGCTTCTACTCTGTTAAGACTAACCTAGAAACAGACTAAACTGGTATGGCAGTACTTTGCTTGACGTCAGCTACGTACAGTTGCAGCATTAAAACATCAGTATGCTGCCTAAGAAAAGGGGGTGTGGGTGCTGAGGAAGTTTATCCCAACTGCTAATAACACCCAAACACTGACATCAGGCTGTGCTTCTCTTACTGTCAGGATGCACCCCAGGAACAGCACGGGCCAGCTACTGGTACGTCCCTACATCAGAAGTCCTCTCTGCATGCAATACCGAAAGAGCAAAATCCAATTAAAATATAAACACTATTTCTATTTAGTGCTGCTCCACCGTTTATAAGCATATTATATGCAGATAGTAGGATTTCTCCCTTACACAGTAGTCGATATGATACAAGTTTAGATGCAGCTGTTCAGTGGTAAATGTCATGCATGCATTTGATTGAAAGGGAACAAAAGAGATACGGGAATGTTACCTGAATTCACTATGAAATCATGAATCTAGGATGATCATGTAATTTTACAAAATTCTTTACACTGGATAAAACCACAAGAATGGGAGGCTTATCTTGTCATTGAGATCAGTTAGATAAGAAAGCACTTAATCCTCCTTTACTTCATCTTTCTCTTCTTTGGTCCGAGGTGCTGTTTCCTTTGCTTGTAGAGATATCGGAAGTTTACAAATAACCCTGAAAAAGAATGAAGTGTTTCCATAGGACATCTCTGCATCACTTTGAAGCTGGATGGCTGCACCAAATTCAACAAAAAAACCCACAGCAGTTTAATAGTTTAATGAAAGCTAGTGCTAGTGTTTTTTTGTGGGGTTAGGTGGGTTTGTCACTGAAAAAGCTGTGCAGAACTGGGAAAGGATCAAACAGGTGTTTCAGTCAGTCTTAGCTGAAGGTGTTCTTTAAGCAAGGTCTGCAAGGGGGGGACCTAATGAAAGTTCAGTTTAACGTTACAGATGAGAGTCAACCTCCCTGACTTCAGTGATTTCTGGATTCGTAGACATACTGGCTGCATGTACTACAAAGTTATCTCATGTTTAGGAAATATAACAAATAAACCAGGTATGTGAAACAGCATTCTTTTTAAATACACTACTACTTAGACAGCCTTCTATAATTGTTTCCTGCAAAAACATGTCATGTTATAACACAGTTTAGTTAAATATTTTCTTAAATTTGGTATTATGTTTAGAGTTCCACTAAATCATTCTGAAGCTCAAATAATGTAAAAGGGTGAAATTAAGCATACTGAGATTACAAATACATTTAAAAGTTACACTTTTAACTCAAATGAACTGTGGATAATGCAGCTAACTTGTTAATAAGGACTTCTCCTTAGGGGCAAGCCAGTGCTAATTGTAGCTGTGTTCCTTTCTCTGACAAGTATGTGAGCAATGAGGATGGTACTTAGCCTTGAGCAAATTAGTGTTGTCAAGATCTCTAAGACACAGGAATTTATCTTTCTTAGGAAGAATATACTTAATCAGAGGAAACTGCCCTTTCATTTTCAACAGTGAGAAATAGAGTTAAATATCTTACCCAAAAACAAGGCTATAAGATACATCTGAAGCAAGAATGAAAACTGGATTGTGACATTCAGTGGATTTGGCAGTCCCAGGCTAAATTTTCCTGTTTCACTGAAGATGGGAATGGATTGAATGAGACAGACAGCTGAAAGCAGAAAACCATGGTTATCAGACACAGGTAAAGTGTTCATTATTTTACTTGTTAACATTTGAATCAAACCTATTTAAGGAATGTAGTATAATGGTAAGCAGCTACACCAGGCAGTAGAGCAGTTTAGTTACAGAGGTCTAAGCATGGTAAACTTGCCTGGCAAGACATTGCTCTTGTACACAACCATGTAGCCTGCGGGGGCTGTGCCAGCAGTGGTTACCATGTTGAAATAGCCCCAGAAAGGAAAGAGGCATGGTTTCTCCTCTATTAGGAATTAAGCAATGCACAGCCTACTCCTGGCTCACAGAAGCAAGCTCTGACAGGTATGGTTACAACACGTTTGTTGAATCTAGATGCCGAGCAGTGACAGGCATTTTAAAAATTCAGATGTTAAGACACAAGAGTTCACCATCAAGTCCTCTCCCTGGGCTTCAAAGCTGAAGGGGAGCACAGCCCCATTGGGAAAGCACTATGCTTATCTCAGAAGAGGTTAGGATGCTTTTATAGGAAGAGCTGGTTCCTGCCTGTTCTGTGCCAGTGATTTACAAGATAACTGCAAGGTCTCTTGTGCTGGTGCAAGCCCCAGCACAACTGACCATGCAGATGTAGCAGACAAAAGCAAGAACAGCATTTTAGAGCAGCAAAGGGAAGTGAATGTTGTCTTCCTGTAATGCCTGCATGGTCTGCAGTGCACAGTTGGTCACTTTGTTCCAGTAGCCTTTTGTTGCCTTTATTTTCCTCTCCAGTGCCCAAAACAATGACTTCTGTTCACATCAAATTCAAGAAGTGTTTGTTTCAGTAAGGAAGATAGAAATACTTATATCTGGTTCAGCTCAAAGCACACATCTACTTATCTGCTGCTGTTCCATTAGTCTTTAGTCCAGCAGCCAAGCCAAAAATTGAGTTATTTGCCCAGAATTATCTTCATTTATTAAACTTTTTTGGGCATACCTTCTGCCAAGCCGCCTAGAGGGTACAGAGGGATCCAGCTGGTGTAACGGAGCCAAGTTAGAGGTTTCCATTCTATACCCATGCATGAAAGCATGTAATAGGGATACCTGAAGCCAATTAAGTGTGAGAAGAAACAGATATTGTTTAAAATAGAAGCTGCTGCCAGAATTAAGTTTGCATATATCTGCAGTATAGGAAAGTCAACATAACTCCCAAGTGACACAAAAATAATCAAAAACCATTCCTCTGGCTCTTGATGCACTCACCCTTACTTGGCAATTTACATAATTAATGCTCTTATTCTGATCATTCGGATGAATTGAACTGCCTGACTTGTTGAATAGACATTTCAAAATATTTTCTTTGGAAAGAGAAACAGAGCACAGTGCACCCCACTTAATCACAGTCTAAGCATACTTCAACTAGAGGCCAAATTTTCCAAAAGAAAGCAACATGTGTTTTGAGGGCAGCACTACCTTTTAGACTCCCATATTGTCCCAGCTTTTGGCTGTGACACCCAGTGTCTAAAGGGAATTTTACTCTCTGGAGCCAATTTCTGTGCCAGTCTTCCAAAAGGTACAAAGATCAAAATCTTTGCTAAAGGTTCTTGGAAACAACCCCACTGTTTTGCACACACCCATTTAAAGAAAAATCCCACAGACCTGAACAGTTCAATGATGCTCCAGAAATAAAACAAGAAGAACACCACAGCTCTGCTCTGCATTTCCTCCAGGCTTCCAAGGACAACAAACAAAATAAAGTTTCTTCCAAATACCTGTTTAAGGAAAACAAACTGTGGACCACTCACACTCTTTAACAAAAGAGCAAGTCCTTGCTGTCAAAACCATGCAGATTATCTACTTTTCCAGTGCAAAACCGTTCTGTGCTCAGCTTTTAATTGTGCAGCTGAGCAGTCATCTCTGATTTTTAAGCACACCTTTCTCTTCTGGGTCCAATGCGAGGGACCTCGTCTTAAATCATTTAACCTCACTTTTGTTCACAACAACCACAACCAGGATACAAAAGGGGAATCAAATCAAAATCATTTACTTTCTGCTCGGTGATTCTCTTCTGTTGTTCCAAATTATCATACTTAATTGACAGAAGAAGACAGCCTCCCACATCAGAGTATGGGAAGCCTGGATATCTGCCACTTGAATAACAGATTCTCTAGTTCAGTGACAGCAAGATTACATTGCTTAGAAGAAGTAAAATACACATCTACTTCAAACGTGGGAGGAGCAAGAAGAACCTTAAAATACTACCTGTATTACAGCAGGAATCAGTGGTGATCTGACCAGTCCTATCAGTGAATTCAGGATTTCCATCAAGGCCAGGGTCTGACAAAAGTACATCATGTCAGCAATGGTGTGAAACGTGTCATAGAAAGAATCTGTAAGACACAGGACACTGCCCTAAGGACAAACAGCTCTTCAGATGCAGGAAGCATAACTTTTGATACCTCAGCAGAATGAATTATTTTCACTTCAAAACCAAAAGAATTCTGCCCAGCTTATTTTCAAAAATACCAATACGGCAGTAAGCAAGAAGTTTTCTTCCATCTGATTTCTTTAGATGAAATCTTGGTGGAGTACAAGCATGGCTCATTAGGATACACGCCTGTCACTTCAAGAAAACAGTATTTTCCTATCCTTGAAAATGTGATGGCTTTCGTTGTGCACTTTGGTGATAGATTTACTACTTTATTTCCTAGATATGTCTTCCTTTAGACTTTGATATTTAAAAAGTATTAAAAACAACACCCTGAAATGATAAAGTAGTGCTTATTACTTGCCTTTTCCTAAGATGAACAGTCGTACTGTCATGTTCACAAAAATCCAAGAGAATCCCAAAAACTGTACAAGATTATACATTATTAAGTATCCTTTCTTCAGGTGTTTGAAAGCTGAAATCAATAATAAATGCATCAGATGAGCAGACTACAATGCAAACGCACTCCTGCAAACCAAGCTTTCTGTGAAAATGCAGCTTACAAAAAGGGAAACTATTGATTGTGGCAAAAGAGTAGCTGTGTGCTTTGTGAGTTCTGCCTGCTTTTATTATCTGCTAGAACAGAATTCTTGTTAGTCAGATTTTTGAACTCCTTAGGAACTGCAGGCAATTTTTATTGAATTTCTAAATTGCTCATAATACAAGGATCCTCCTCCAGCATACACCAAGCCACTGAAAATTGCTCCATGAGATCACGGATGTGAGCTACAGAAGCTTTCTGATTCTCCCCATCTCCCACACCAGAAAGGTACAGTTACTTACGGTCTTTTGGGACTCTGGATTCTATTTTCATTTTGTTAATCTTTTCTTCCTCCTTAAGATGAAGGATAAGGTTTTAGCGAGCATTACTGTAATTAGCAACTGATTTGTTAACTACCCTACTGCAAAGCTAGTAGGTTTAAAACTCAGTTAAGCAGCCAATTGCTAGAAGGCTTAAATGTTCACCTGCATAAAACAGAGCTCGTTTCTCATCCACAATTAACGGTAATGTAAAAGGCAGAGGGTGTTAACCAGCTATACAGCCTTCACTGCAGTATGTGGTGCTCTAACAGTTAGGTGCTTTTGCTGAAAAAGCCAGCTGATTTTTGTGTTCACAATTATTACTGTTTCTTAGAACTGTTCCCACAGCCAAGAGAACTGAAGGGAACTGAGTACATCCAGTCCAGGCTCCTCCTGCCCTTCACAGCTGCTTCTGTTGTTGCAGCAGCTCTTTCGCCTCTGCACTAACCTCAGTGGCAGAGAATAGGGCAGCATTTGTTTTACACCAGTTAAGTAGAAACATAGTCTGTTCCGTTCAAGTGCTTTCCAAGATGGGCTTTCACCTCCCTGCTGTATTAAGCTGCTTGAATTTACCATATGGTGGGAATGCAAAGTCAGAGCCAGCCCTGCAGCTCAGGAAACAGTACTGTGGCAGTACATGTGGAAACAAGTTCCTGCTTCCTAGACAAGCAGTGTCAGGACTGATGTCTCTGACATTAATCTGACCCTCATATGGATCACACAGGACTGCTACGGTGTAAGGCAAGAAGTGCAAGCCTTCAGCTGCAGGCATCAGCCAGCACAGAGCTAATACACAGCAATCCTTGCTTTGTGACTGGCAGCACAAACCCTCCGAGCCCGCAGGACCAACCTTCTCCTTCAGTTCCATTTCAGCATCCGATTCGTCTAACCAGCGATCGAAGTCCGGAGCGAGGAAGAGCGGGCGTTTCTCCTGCTTGGTGAGCCTCTCCCACCAGTTACTCTCCTTTTTCTGCACAGTGATGTTGAGCTGCCTTTGAGTCACCCTGCACACGGGCTGGAGGCAGACAAGAGTACACATCAACAAGAGCCCTAAGCATCGAGCTCTGAGGCTGATACCTGAGCTCCCCACCAGCAACGCAGAGGTGACATAGACTGCTGCAGGACAGGCATCTCCCTGCTGCCCAAGACATGCCATAGAAACCAAGCGCAAGGTGAAGATGGCAACTAAGATGGTTATGGAACTTGTGATTTGATGACCAACTGGAAGGCCTGCCTGCACGGCATAGCACTGTCCTACCAGTCAGTTATCACAGCCCCTGGTGCTAGCAATCCCACACAAAACCTACAGACCGTGGCTTTAGGCATTCTCGTGTTTCGTACTGTGAGCCACTTTTAGCCAGTGGTAAAAATAATGCTATCGTCAGTCACAGGTACATCTCCAAAACAGGGAATCCCACACGAAACCTGCTCTGGTGAGAGGAAGAGCCATGACCTGCATTTGTAACTGATGTTCCCCCAGCACTCCTTCTGTCAAGGCTGGCTCTGTGCTCCTAGGACATCTGAAGGCTGCAGCTGTAATTTACAGCTGCTACTGGCACAGGCTTTGTCCCTCACTGATGGCCACCCTCCGGCCTCCTCCTTGCCAAAGCAGCAGAGCCAAACCATGGATCCCAGAGTGACTGCAGGAGTAAGCAGCACAAATCCTCTGCTGGGAGCAGAGCCTGGAGGGTTTTGAGAAATGAAGCCAGATTTCACAGCCACCTACAGGAGTTTGCTCTTCCAGCCAAGCTCTCTCCTACTGAACTACAACAGCAATTAAAACAATGTTTTGCAATACGACCTGCAATGTGTCAGTACTGGCAACCCAAGGAATTCGTACAAGCCAGAAACACCAGTTCTCATGAATTTATTTTGCTGGGCTGTAATAGCAGCCACGCTGACACTTTGTACTGTGGTGTTCCCCCTCCTCTCCAAGGCATAGCTGCATCAGACAAACTATTGCAGGCATTTCCCACTATCTTGCTGCTTTAAATTCCTGTATAGATTGTAACTACTGTGTAGCAGCTATGGTAAATTTAAGGCCCCCTTCCTATCAAGGTTCCCCAGTGAGATGAGCTGCATTAAGGCAGGATGGTGGCTGAGCACAGCAACACAGGACTGCTATGGGTAGCATTTAGCAGTCAGTCACCAGGAAGACCTAACAGCACATCTATTCTCTTCTCATGTTTCTCAAACAAACAAGCAAACAACAACAACAACAAAAAAATAACAAAACTTTTTCTCTGCAGAAGTTAGAAGAAAAAGAAATACCTACTTTAGGCTCAACCGGCTCTAGGAACTCGATCTGAAACTCGTAGATGTTGTCCCCTTTGGCACCATGACCCTGAGCTAAGAAACAAGAGCAGACGATCAGCAAAAAGTACTTAACGAGTCCCACACACCTTTAAAGTACACCTGACACACAGGAATATTCAGCGTTGGTTTTACAGTGCCTTCCCCTGCCCCGCTAGGAGGGACGATCACGGAATCAGAGAGCATCCCATGCTGGAAGAGATCCCAAAGATGAAACCCCCCGAGGCGTGGAGCTGCAGGAACCAACGGAGCCACAGCTCTGCTGGGTGTCCGCACTGCCTGCTCGTGCCCGATGGAACCCGGCTGGGAAGCCGCCGCAGGGAGCAGCGCTGCGAGCAGTGCCGTTTCTTTTCCGTCCGCACGCCGATCCCAGGCAGGCACGTGTGGCCGTGCCCAACCGGGTGCCTGCCGCCGGCTCGCCAAGGAGGTGGCATCCACCGGGATAGAGGGAAAACGACCACAGAAGTGACCGACCCGCACTGACGGCGGCATCCCGACGTGCTGAGCAGCGAACCGAGCGTGCTGCCGGGCCGGGCCTTTTACCGAAGGAGCTGCTTTACCTTCCAAATAGGGCTGCGATAACGCACACAGACGGGGCTTTGTGGGCTCGGCAGACGGACAGAAGGACACGGAAACGTCCCCCACATGTAAATGCGGGGCGCAACGCTTTGCCTACGAGATAAGACACGGTCCGCACCGGCCACAGCCCTACCTCGGAACCGCAGCACGTTGTCGGCGATGCTGACGTCCGGGTTCTGCAAAGGGACGAGTTCTGTTAGAGACCGCATTACCGGCACTTCCGCGACAGCCCTCGGTGGGCCCTAACACGGCGCAGCGGAACCCCCTGACCGCCCCATCCCCGCCCCCCCGGTACCGACACCGGCACCTTCACGTCGCTCAGCTCCACGCGCAGGTACAGCTCGTGGTGCCGCTGCGCCCAGTGCACGTGCGGTCGGAGGCTGCAGCCCGCCATCGCGCAGCCCCACCGCGCCGCTCCGTTCCCGAGCCGGCGGGGGCTGCCGTTGCGCCTGCGCGGTGCGAGCGGAGGTGAGCGGGGAGAGGAGTGGGAGGGCGGGGTTCTGGGTGCGCCTGCGCAGTGCGCGCGTCACCTCGGAGAGGTGCTGAGCTGAGGGAGGTGCGATGGTGGGAGCTGAGGGTGCCGGGTCAGACTCGCAAGGCTGTGCGTTCGTCCTTCTCAGAGCTCTAAGGCGGCCCTGAGGCAATACGTGTTACCCCCTGCCTCGCTCTGTGCTCAGCTGTGCGCTTCAGCCCTGAGCTGGTGACAGCGATGGCGGTCCTGGTGAAGAAGCCGAGGGCTGTCGGGGAGCCGTACCGCCGGCCTCGGCCGCTTCAGACAGCGCTGTGCTGAGCATGAGGGCTGCGCGCACCGCGCCGTCCGCCCTTTTCCTCACCCGCACAGCCTGGTCCTCCCGGCCAGCAGGTGGCGCCCTCCCGACCCATCCCTCTATGCGCGGCGCTGCCGGGCTGGAAGCCGTGTCGTTTCCTCCGCGCCGACAGGGGGCGCGCGGCGTAGCCGAGCAGCCCGGCGGCCCATCTGGCGGAAGCGGAAGCGCCCGGCGGGGCGGCTGGGCAGCATCGCAGCCGCGGAGCGCCGTGAGCAGCGGGGCCGGACGGCAGCCGGCGTTCTCGGGGACGCCCTGCGGGGAACCGCCGGTAGCACTGGAGGGGCGCCGAGCCTGGAGAAGGTGGGGGATTTGTCCCCGGGCTGCTCGGCTCGCTGCTCTCGGCCGGGCCTGCCCGCCGCACCGTGGCTGGCGGCTCCTCCCGGGCTCTGCCCGTTTCCTCCGGCCGCTCGGGCAGCCCCGCGGCTGCTCGCCCCGCTCCGGGCCCGTCTGCCACTACGGCACGGCCCTGCGCTGCGGTAGTGCTGGAGCTCGCCCGTAAGGACGGTGCGTTCCGTGGCAGAACGAGGCGGTAGCGATCTCGGGCAGATCCTCGCGCTAAGCCCGGGCTGCCGTGCCTTTGCCGTCCGTGCCAGGTTGCTTCTTAAGGCCGCCGCTCTTCGTTTCCTGCTTTTCTTGGGAGGGGTGTCTGAGAAGTAGGTCGGGTTGAGGCATACTGGCATCTGGGTGTAGGTGGGGAGAGGAGATTTTTCTTTGTTGGAATTCTGTGAAGTAGCTGAAAGTTTTTGGTTTTTTTTTTTTTTTATTCAGATTTGAAGCCTTATGCCCTGTTTTTAGCTCAGTTTGAGCAGAGTGCTGTGCTGTGTGGGGCTGGGATGGCCTTTCAGTCTTCCAAGGTTTACATTTTGATTTGCTTTTGTGTTGTAAATGTGTTAAGACAGAAGAAGTGCCTCCCTTTGTTGTGTTTGGATGTGCAAAATTGCAAACATGCTTTTGATTGAGACTTGCCCTGCTCTGCTGTTGGTGTTCTGTGTTAAAACGTGCTAGATCCAAGTTGCATGCAATCTCTTCCTCTCATCTGTGAAGAGCAGCAGGAGCAGCCGGTCCATCAGGGAGCTTTATCTCGGGTAGCTGTGCTGGCCAAGCCCATGCCTTGAAATTCTTTGGCCCTTTAGTGCCTGTTTGCTGAATGCAGGTGCTCGGTTTGTTTTTCATTATTGTCTTTGGCAAGCTCAGACCAGCAAGCTCTGCCTGTTCTATAGCAGCGTGTCAAACAGTTGTGCAGCCTTTCCATTTTATATATAGAAAAAACAAGCTGTCTTTGAGGATTGACAATCGTCACGCCTTGCTGTCTTTGTTAATGAATTATGTGTAGGAGTTCATAGCTGGGATCCTTTTGGAGCTGCACTCAGATCTTGGATTTATGGTTTCCTACTGCCAGATCTCTGGGCTGTTTTGTCTAGCTTAGATATGCTTTGTAAAGCACGGCTAACTTGAGGGAGAAATATCTGCTAACTGAACAACCTGTTCAGGAGGGTAAGATCAGGTCAGTCAGTTTGGAAAACACTCATTTCACTGGGTCACCTTCCTGTATGGCCTCATGCTTTTGGAAGAATCTGTTCAGAAATTGTAATTACGTGCTTGTAGATGGTATCATTGTGATGGTATTGCTAGACCCTTCACAGCTTTGTTTGAAAGGAGAAATTACAGGAGAATGATGGTTGCCCAGCCCTGTTGTGTATGGCCAGTAGGTTCAGAATCAACTTCAAATACTGTATCTGCTAAGCAGTTGGCTGTCCCAGCTCTTGATACAGTCCTAATCAGCCTTTATTCTGATATCAATGTATCAAGCTAGTTTTGCCGTTCACAGGGTGGAAGAATGAAGTTTGAGCTTAACAGGGAAGGATTTATTGAACTGAGCAATTGAGAGGTGTTAAGATAAAGAGGCAAACACTAATAAGTCTATGTGGATCTATGAAATTATTAGCTTTGTTCTGAAAAGCTGAGCAATGACAGCCTGTTTTCCATAGCAGAAATGCATCTCCTTTTCCTTTCAGATTTTCCATGTGAAATAGCAGGTTTCTCGTAGCATTTTTGCTGTGTTGTGTCTTTGGAGTCTGATGTGAACTTTGGCTGGAAAGGAGTGCTGACCCTCTGGTGTTTTTTCTTTTCCAGAAACATGCAACATGGCAGCAGCCATGGAAACTGAACAGCCAGGCCTCGAAGTCTTTGAAACCACGGGCTGTGAGGAGCAGGTGCAGAGAGAGGAGCAGCCAAAACCTGAACCTTTCTATGTAGAGAGACATTCCTGGAGCCAGCTTCGGAAACTGCTCACAGATACACGAAAGTATCATGGATATATGATGGCAAAAGCCCCACATGACTTCACGTTTGTTAAGAAAAATGATCCCGAAGGACCTCATTCTGATAGGATTTACTATCTGGGTAAGTTTGCTGGCTCAGCCTGTGCCTTGACTAAACAGTCACTGCAGAGATGGTTTGGATTTGACCGTTCCTCTGTGCGCACCTGATTCCCTCTGCTTGGTCCCCAAATGCCTTGGCAAGAGCTGTCAGAAATCTGAGTAGCACTGAGAGAGATGAACAGGAAGGAGGCATTCAAACCTTCCTGAAGATGCATCATCTTTGAAACATAAGCTGCATTGTGCTGCACTCCAGCCAGGCGAAATAACAGAGCAGACCTTTCTGAACTTAAAAGCTTGTAAAATAAAAAGATCCCTGACCTTCAACAAGACAAGGTTATTCTTCAAGCAGCATGTAGTAAGCCTGACTGTAGTTCTTTGTTCTTCACCTTCCCTGTGACTTGCATTTCTGAGAAGTGGGGACTTCTCAGTGCAAGGCTGCATTGTAGAGACTGTCAGTGCTTCCTTTGGTAGGAATGCCTGTGAAGCTGTTTTTTAGCATCTTTTGAGAGTGTTGGAATTATTAATAGGAAACTAATGTACTTTGTTTCTTTCCTTTTTGACAACAGCAATGTCTGGGGAGAATAGAGAGAACACACTCTTCTACTCTGAAATTCCAAAAACTGTGAACAAAGCTGCTGTCCTGTTGCTTTCCTGGAAGCCTCTCTTGGATCTTTTTCCGGTGGGTCCTGATTTTTTTCTTACATCTTAGCAACACAGCAAGGCTTTGAGGTTACACCTATAAGCCGTTACTGTGGTCTTAAACACTTCAAGCTTCTCTTTGTAATTGGTTAACTCTGCAACCATCTCAAAAACAAGCATAATTTTCTCTTCAGTTTTTGGAGCTACAGCCTGTGTGCATCATGAAAGCTGAGTGTATGTGTTTGATTTGTCCTTTGCCAGCAGAGATTACAAGTGCTAATTTGCATCACATTCTCTGCTTTGAGATCCTGGGCATTGCTGAAGGAGCCTGTAGTCTCCAGTAATCACTGTCCTTCAGGGGGAAGCAATGAGTCTCCCCAGTGACCTGTCAGTGGCTCTGTGACTCAGGCTGAAGCAAGAAATCTCTTTTCCACTCTAGGTTGTGTGTCCTCTTCTCACCTCCGTGCACCATAGCAGGTTGAGGGAGGCAGGATATTTCCTGTGTGGAATTAGGTGTGTTGTTTCCCCATGTTGCTTCCTGAGGCTGTCAGCCAGACATAAAACTCATGCTGCACTCTCCTCCCACCAGTCCAGTCACCATGTATGTTTGCAAAAGTTGGTGGAGGCTGTCCTACTCCTTCTAGAAATAATAGACCTTCTGTCTGATCTTTCTCATACCAGCGTACACTGGAAATAATGCCAGCCTTACTAAGGGAGAAGTGGCTCTCAGGTTCCCACTTCTGTAGGATACGGTCGAGGAATGCACCTACAAGTTTTCGCAGCAGAAGCACAAGCAGGAGTGGCTCCTGGCTGTCAGCAGGATTCTGGAGGAGGAGGGTGTCTGCACAGCCATCTGGTCCTGGAAGCTTGGCGTGCAGAGATGCTCTGACAGTATTGTAGCAAATGCAGAGCAGAGGTGTTGATTGTGTTCTCTGCCCATGTTCAGGCCATCCTGGACTATGGTATGTACTCTCGGGAAGAGGAGTTGCTGCGGGAGAGGAAGCGGATTGGCACTGTTGGGATTGCCTGCTACGACTACCACCGCGAGAGCGGCACCTTCCTGTTTCAGGCTGGGAGTGGAATTTATCATGTAAAAGATGGAGGCCCTCATGGATTCACTGTGAGTTTATTCATCTCTCTGTCTTGCACAGTACTTCCTGCCTCTGGCTGGAAGCTCCTTTGCTTCCTAGTGAAGGCAGAATGTGAGGTTCAGCTATTGCTGCACTGCCGTGGCAAGTTGCACTGGAGGGGCAAGCGGCCTTAACCAACCTCGAAACGTGGAGAAGTGCTCCTTAGGGATGCATTGCCATGGTTACAGAAACTTGGATGGAGAATTAAAAAGAAATGGTAGAATCTCTGGTGGCAAGGCAAGTCACTAGACTTTCTGAATTTTATTTTACTATATTTTACCAATAAAAAGGGACATGAAGCCTGTGGTGCTCTGCTCTTCCATGTACTCCGAAGTCATATCAGAGGCAGCTTTTGTTCCCAAGCTGTGATTTAGTGGTCACTGTTCAGCAGTCAGTACTGTATGTGTTACAGGATTTGGCTGTAGAACTTTGTGAACAAGCAGCCTTTACTCTTTTCTTGTGCTAATGCTGGATTTGAAAGCTGAAACCATTTCTTGTTGATACAGGCGATGCTTGATGTTTGCCTAACCCAGCTGTTACTGTATCTCGAGTTGGTTTTGGAGAACAAGATTTCTGTCTGTTCTGCCTGTCAATTTTTAGGTGTGCCAGGCTTCTGTAGGCAAGCTGTCTTCTGATTTGCAGTTAATTCTCAGCACTGGTGAAAGAGGCCTTGGTGGAACTGTTCAAGATGGTGGAAGCACAACTTTCCCTATAAAATATCTGCTGATATTTTTCTGTATTTTGGAAATTGTAGAGATTGCTCTCTTTTAAACCTGTGTGTTTGAAGTCAGCAAGCACATTGCTGTGGTCATAGAGACCTTCTGGTAATCTGGGTCAGTGACTGTTTCACTACTTACTATTCTTTTTTTCTTCTTTTAATCAGCAACAGCCTTTAAGACCCGTTCTGGTAGAGACCGGTTGTCCAAATATCCGGATGGATCCTAAGCTTTGTCCAGCTGATCCAAATTGGATTGCCTTTATCCATAGCAATGACATCTGGATATCTAATATAGAAACCAGAGAAGAAAGGAGGCTAACATTTGTGCACAATGGTAATTCGTCCTGAATTAAAATCTCTGCACCTCCTCTGCACTTGTTCTTGCTGTACTGAATTAAGTAATGGCACTAAGTTATCTCCTGAGATCTGAGGGAATGGCAACTGTTTACTTCATCTGGGATTTGGTTGTCATGTTCTGTATGTTTTCTCCAATGCAAATGCTGCAGGAAAATTCTTTTCCTGAGTCCACTGGGAAAACCAGAATCTGGCAGGATTTGTTGAATACATATGGAAAGACTTCTCCTGAATCACATATTCTTTTTATGTACTAGAACAGTCGTTTTTGTGTGGAGTAGCTGTGGGTGGAATAAAGCTGGGGGAAAGTTTCTGCCAGCAAAGTCAGGCTGCAGGGCTTTTTAGAGACAATATAGAGTTTCTGAATAGCACTGTGGCTTCTGCTGGTGCCCTCATCCTCAGTCTTGTAGGTTTGTGCTTCTACCCCTCTCCAGGTCTGATTTAGACTTGTATCCCAGGGAAGGGAAATGGAAAACTGTGGGTAAACAGCTTCTTAAAATCCATTGCATTTTGCAATTGAAGCATGCTGCTTGTACTGAAACTGCATCATTAGATTTGTAACCAAATAAAAAATGTTGACACTTTACAATAATACTTGAGCTTATTTGAAAGTTAGTTATTAAAATATTATGTAAGTACATTAAAAATAAACTATAGCAATGACTCCTTCTCAGATGATAATTATTTATGGAGCGCTGCTAAGTTACCTCCAGGGTAACAGGAAAAATATTGAAGCCCTATGGATAGGGTTGAGATGTTATGTAAGTCTGTTACTTTCAGCCTGTAAACTGAATGAAATGCTGGTAATTTTTTCTGAATGTTGGTACTTTCGGTGTCAGTTCTCAGGATTTTTTTGCTTTAATTTCCTTAAAACTTGTGGTTCCAATTTGCTGAGCTCAGGTAGAGAGAACATTTTCTTTCTTGGATGAATGCATGGAAAACTGAGAGACTAATTGGGTAGGAGTAAGAAAGGAAGATGAGGCTTTTCTTTCCTAAAAGAGGCTGCTGTGTCAGAGAGGATTAGGTCTTCCCCAGATAAATCAACAGAGTGGGGTGAAAGCAGTTCTGCTGAGAAGCCAGATTTGCTATCATGTCATTGTTCTCCAGAGACTGAACATAGGCTGTGTTTGGGATAATGCAGAGCTGATTCGATTCTGCAGTACATCATGAACTAATTCTTTTGTGTCTTTTTTTTTTTTCTTTTTTTTTTTTCTTCTTGAGAACTTGCCAGTGTTGAGGAAGATCCAAAGTCTGCTGGCGTGGCTACTTTTGTGCTGCAGGAGGAGTTTGACAGATACACTGGCTATTGGTGGAGTCCAAAGGCAGAGCCAAGTAAGTGCGTTGGATGCAGTGTGTCTGACAGGCACAAGTAGTTGCCCCCGTGCTGTGAAAGTTATTTCTTGTCTTTGGATAGGAACCTTATAGTTCAAGAAGAGCTATAAGTGTCTGCAGTGGTGGACGTGATAAGGTGCCCTCGTTAGCCTGAGCTACTGGGGGAAGAAACTTTCCTTCTCACAACAGTGATAGGAATTGCATGAGACTTGGTGCATTTTGTGTAATGAAACGAGAGTCACAGACATTCCTTCATTCTTTCAGCCTCCATGTTCTCCTAGGGAAGCACTGGTGTCTGCAATAACCAATTTTGAGAGCTGCTCTGATCAGAAAATGCTAATTCCTTTACAGCACTGAATGGGGGTAAAGTTCTTCGAATTCTTTATGAAGAAAATGATGAGTCAGAAGTGGAAATCATTCATGTCACATCACCCATGTTGGAGACAAGAAGAACAGATTCCTTCCGGTACCCCAAAACTGGTGAGACCCAGATGACCTTGCATCTCCATTTCTGGGAGATGCTTATTTTATTCCGTGTGCCTTACGCTGGTGATAGAGCAGGGCGTTGTTGTAGGCATGACGTGTGGTCCTGGAATTAGTGCTCAGGTAGCAGAGATGTATGTGGAAAAACTTCTGCCCTGGAGGTTTGATTAGTCACTGTGCCTGTGTTGATTTTCCAGCCATGAGGTTACTAAGAACTCAGTCTGGGTCCCTCAGAAGTTGGCAGAAACCCTACCTGATTGTCGCTATTTTGGAGCTGCTGTCTCAGATCCTGGCACAGAGAAGCTGGTTCCTGTTACAGCCCAGCGTCTCTGAGGGAATAGCTGCAGAATGACAGCATTTTGATTTTCCCAGGGGGAGGCATCCTGCTAGCTGCTGGCAGTGCCCTGGTAGCTCTAAAGGGCTCTGATCTCCACGAATGCTTTTGGACTTGGAAAATTGTGCTTGTTTACAGACTACGAGGGAAAGCCTCTGCTGCCATTTTCAAACAGTGAGTGATGTGAAGGCTTCAGCAGTAAGGGAACGAGGGCAGGCTGGAGCCAATGAGACTTCTGCAGTCCTACTGTGCTGTGCCAGGTGTATAGGGCAAGTTTGAGCAAGCTGACCCTTGCTCTTCTGAGATTTCGCTGCTGTTTTTGCAGGACGTGTTGATCACATTATGAAAGTAGTTTGTTTCTTTCTTACTCCTGAAATCTTTTTATCTGTTTTTATTATCAGGTCTTGTAATTGCCCTAATCCTTTGGCAAGAGTTTCCTGCTTATGATTCTGATTTACTGCTCCTTTTAAGGAGCAGGAGGGGCCATGTTAGCCTGCAAAGCAAGAGGTGACTTCATGTTTTCCAGTGCTAGGGGACACTTAGATTTTGTGAGGGTGTTTTATTATACTTTTATTAAGTGCTGAATCTAAGCAGCGTAGGAAAACCTACAGGCAGCCAAAGCCTTAAATGCCTTGAAAACAAACAAATGTGTTTTAATCTCTGTCCTCAGTTTCCAGTCAGAACCACGTAGGCAGTAGGCTTTTTTGGGTTGCTATAAGGGCAAAACTTGAGATGGTTTGTTACCAGGGTGAAGACGAGTACTTCAGTAAGCCAGAACTGTGGCTTAAAGCAAGTCATTCCACCTCAATGCGTCAGTTTTTGTGAGTTGATAAAGTGAAAGCAGCATTGAGAATATTAAAACTATGTGGAAGCTGCTAGATGGAGCTGCCTAGACTGACACAACAGCTTTACTCTTTATCCTTCACCTCTGCTGTGCAGCAGGCCCTCAGCACTGCAGCTGCTGTACATTTGTGTTGTTCAGGCTTTGTATGGAGAGCTAGGTGGATTTTCACTGTCCAGCACAGAAAAGTATTGCTCTGCTTTTTATTCAATATCAGCCAAACAGTAAACCAAAGCTTGCTTTGCTGTCCAGGTGGTGCATGCATGCTTTGTCTGTGGGAGAGCAAACTGACTGACAGTAGCACAGCTCCTTGATCAGAGCTGTTTGTGGCATTACATCCACCAATTCTGCTGTGTGTCTGTAGTCTCTTTTTTCTGTGCCTGGTTCTCTAATATGTGCAAGCAGGCTATTTGACCAAAGAGGGTTCTGCTTTTTTCCTGTTCCAGTTCTGTACAAATAACAACACAGTAATCCACAGTTCAAGCCTGCCCTCTTGGAAGCAAACAGTTTGTGCCTGACTGCTAACATTTGTTTTTGTAGGTACAGCAAATCCAAAGGTCACTTTCAAGATTTCTGAAGTGGTGATCAATGAAGAAGGAAGAGTAAGTTCCATGTTCCCCTTGTTCCCAAGTTAAATTTGATTTCTGTGACTCTTCTTGGTAAAAACCACTTTCCTTTTCAGCATAACTGAACTTTCTTTGTTGTGTTAGCTCAGTGGCTTACCTGGAGGCAATGCACTTGGCTCCTTCCTTGTGTTCAGCAGTGTTTCTCAAGGACTGTTTGATGAACTCAGCTGCAGAGCAGAGCATTTTAGGTGTGAATGGTTAGGCTTTGCTATGTGACAGATGTCTTGATTGCTTGGCTGCAGACGATGGAAAAAAACTGATTGCAAAGAGAAAGTATCACCTTATAAAAGCATGAACTGTGGGAAAAGATGAGCTTTGCTTTCACTCCAGGAATTTTGAACAAATGCAGAAATTTCCATAGGCCAATCCAAGGTCTTTGGACAATTGGGGAATTAATCTTACCAAACAGATACATTAACCTCCATACATTGTTGGATCCTCTCTGCTCCTGAGCTGCTTCAGCTCATCAACACCCACCTGCTGGGACAGCAGTGCTGATGTGAACCAGCATTGAGGGAAAGCTGCCAGGATCCTTGGGGTACCACTGTGATTTGTCCCAGCAGGAGCAAGATGCAGAGCTGTGTATCAATTAGAACCGTATTGATAACTGGATGCCATGCAGAATGTTCAACATACAGCAACAAAAACTCTCTACAAATAAGCTTGGTACAAATCACCTTCCCTTTGTATTTAACATGGGGAAACTGATCCTTTAAGTGTCTTAGGCAAGGCACGTGATGGATTTGTGAGCAGAATCTGTATTCCTCAAGTCCCAGCCCTTGCTGTGCTGATAGTGAACAGCTCTACTAATATTCTGGTGTCTGGCTACAGGTGGGGTGAATACCCTGCACTGAAAGGACAAAACAATCTAAATTGCTTAAGCTGCGCAGAAGAAGTCTGCTGTGTCCAGCTCTCATCGTGCAGGAAAACTGATTGTGTGGGTTCATCTCAGTCAATGTCAGTCACTGAATTACTCCTTTGTCAACAGATTGCAGGTGTTGTGGATAAAGAGCTGGTTCAGCCGTTCGAGATCCTCTTTGAAGGAGTGGAGTACATTGCTAGAGCTGGGTGGACGCCAGAAGGAAAATAGTGCGTATGTTAATCCTGTCTCTGCTTAGAGGGTTTGGGCAGTGCAGCTAGAAGCAGAACGTAGCGGTCTTTGTCTTCCTCGAGCTGAAGCCTTCTTTCATTTTCCCTTTGCTACAAATACATTTACATAAAGAAGGCAGCTTCTCCAAAACCAAACAGTCCTTACCTCCTCTGACGCCTGGCCCTACTGCTTGGGGATGGGCACTCACAGCCTTTGATGTCTGTGTCCTCCCAGCATCCCTGTGAGACAGAGTGCATTGCTGTTATCCCCATTTTGCAGATGGGGAACTGAGGCCCAGAGAGGCTAAGTGACTTGCCATAGTCACACAGCAAGTCTATGGCTGAGGACAGAAATGAGCCCAGGTCCCCCAGGCTACCACCCTCACCTCTGGAGTGTCCTTACTGACCAGAGTTACTGATCAGAAAACCTGCTATAAGTGCTACTTACATTTGCATGTCATTTTTAACCTTGTAGATGATGTAGTGCAGTGTTTCTAATTCACCAGAAGCATCTCCAGAGTTGCACTTCTCCAGTTCTTGAATCTAAAGATTTCACTTTATTTATTTTTTTCAAATGTGGAAGAAATGCAGGGACACGTTTGTTCCATTGTCTTGCTTTTTTTCAGGATTATTATTAGAGCTACATGTAAAGTCATCAGAAGTATGGCAGGGTCTGCTGGCAGTTCATTTAGGTGCCAGTATTACTCTCTGCCAGGTACAGATTTAAAGCATTAATATTTTGACGAGTATCCTGAAACAGTGGTTATTCCTCTTCTTCATTATTCCCTCTGATTTTTCTCTTCTCTTTCTCCTTTAAAGCACAATCCAAATCTGGGGGAATAGAATTAATTAAACTTTTCAACCACCAGTGCTTATGCAATATTGAAATGAAGAGAAATAGTTATGGAAGAGGTTTGTTTTTGTGGGTGAGATTTTACATGTGGCTTTTTTGCTTAATCTGAAGCCGAACATTCTTGACTCCCCTGAAATGCCTCATGGTAATGTGCTGCTTTTGAGGTTTTTCAGATCTCTCTACTGTTCATTGTTGTATGCTGTTTTCTCTAATATCTGTCTTCTCAACAGCGTTTGGTCCATCTTACTGGATCGTTCCCAGACTCGACTGCAGATCGTCTTGATTCCCCCTGCATTATTCATCCCGGTAGAATATGATGCAATGGAAAGGCAGAAACTTATCGACGCCGTACCAGATTCTGTTACACCTTTAATTATTTATGAGGAAACAACAGACATATGGATAAATGTAAGAATTTGAATTTCAGCCTTGTCAGTTAGAGGTGTTTATGTGTGACTTCAGTGCCAAAGTCCTGCTGATAACAGCAACGTGCTGTTCTGTCTCCACAGATCCATGATATCTTCTATGTCTTCCCTCAAACCCATGAAGATGAGATAGAGTTCATTTTTGCCTCCGAGTGTAAAACAGGATTCAGACACCTGTACAAAATTGTCTCAATTTTGAAGGAGAGCAAATATAAGCGGTCATCTGGAGGACTCCCTGCTCCAAGTGAGTGAGTTTATTCTCTTGCTTTAATTGGGCATTTGCTGCTGACTGGTGAGGAAATGAATGTCCTTCCGGGTGGCAGGAATCACTAGAAACTCCTGTTGTTTCCTGAGAAGCCCTTCACTGCACAGTCATTCCTCTTGAAATTGTAAGGGGGTGATTCTGTGTGCAGCACACCTTCATTTTAACCCTGATTCTTCCTTGCTGACTGGAGGTAAAAGTTTCAAAAAATCAGATGCCAGATGGGCTTCCCTGTGGTGCTGTGACATGCACTGAGTTGACAGTGATGGGGTTGTTTACTTCCTGACTGCAGTGGGTTAATCATTACAGGAATAACGTGGCTATCTCTGATCTGAAGGTCCAGTGTATCTAATAGGTGTTCAAGACTTGGTTTTGGAAGTGAAACCAGCGTAGTTCCTGTCAGCCTTTACAAGCAGATCGTAGCAGAGGCTGATAAAGAGCACAGTTTGAACATGCTGTAAAAAGGACTGCAGAGGGCCTCCCTGTCTAAGGGGCCCACTTGTTAGTCCCTTTAAAATGAACATATGTGCTTGGCAGCAAAACCTATGATATGGCAACTATTCAGAGAATTCCTATCTGCTCTTAGAAACAGTCATGGTATTGCTGTATAGACAGAGATGTTAGTAGGAGAAAATTACTGACAGCTGTTGCAAGTGGAAATGCGGAAAGAGTAATTCCAAGGAAAAAAAAAAAAAGAAATCAATGCAAGGACCACGTGCTTCCAAGCTGCAGTCAGAGTTTGCATGGTGGAGCTGTGCACAAAGCCCCTGGAATGTTTTTTCCACAGTATGTGTTCTTTCATTTACAGTTTCATGCTGTGATATTTAATTTACTTGTTGTGTGTTGAAGGCACTCGCTGAGTTCTGCGTGCACAAGAAGTGCACCTAATTTTACTGTAGGTCCCAGCTTAGTGCAATTGTTGGTGTGGGTTTTTTCCAAAAAGCATTAGATTGGGTTCATTAGACTTCTATGATTGTATCCAATTACTTCTCCTTGCTAGATCTCCCTCCTTCCAAGGCAAATGAAGCCATTTTATAAAAGCAGAGCTGCTTCCCAGCCCAAAGCAAAATTCCCCTTTTTTGACACTGGAGATTCTCTTTGCACCCTTTTCAATATTAAAAAAAGCAAGAAGCAAAGCTATCCAGGTGTCAGTTGGAGAGTACCTGTGAATCCTTCAATGCACAGCTCTCAGAATGTGTAGTACCAGCTCTGACATTTGTCTGCGGAGTTGCCAGAGATACGGGTCCTCTGCAGAGCCACGTTGTTCTTGGCTTGTGTCTAGCAGAAAGGCTTGGAAAGAAGAAATGTCATGGTGTCTGTGTGTTCTGTAAAATGTGCGAGTGTAAAATCTCTGTGTTTGCAGGTGACTTCAAGTGCCCCATCAAAGAGGAGATTGCCATTACCAGTGGGGAATGGGAAGTGCTTGGCAGACATGGGTCCAATGTAAGTCTCTGCTCGTGCTGCATGGGTATCTTGCAAGCAATGCAGGCATGCTGGAAGACAGCTGGCATTTGGCTTCTTCCTTGCAGATTGCTGGACAGTAACTCCAAATTATAGAAGCGGTGAAGGGGAGGGGGGAAGACTTGGTGGGGAAAGAAGACCTGGGCTTTGTTTCAGCCATAACTGGATATTGTTTTTGTTTTGTGTTGTTTTTGTTTGTGACAGATCTATGTAGACGAAGCCAAAAAACTGGTGTATTTTCAAGGCACAAAAGACTCTCCTTTAGAACATCACTTGTATGTTGTTAACTACAAGAATCCCGGAGAAGTAAAACGACTGACAGAACGTGGTTACTCTCATGCCTGCTGTGTCAGCCAGGTATCCATCTGCACGAGGCCTGGATAGGCAGGGCTGCCTGGGTGTGTTGTGTTTTATTGCCAAACGTGTCCTTCACCAGTCAGCAGGCAGGGTTGTATTTCAGTGTAACAGAAGTCAATGTTACGCTGTGCTGTGTGCTTAATGTTGTACAGTGAGCGTGCGGCCGCCTCTGGAAACTGGATCTGACCTCCTGGTCCAGGTTGCTCTTCAGCTCTGACAGGAGCTCAGGCAGGTTGAATTGCTTGAAACCAAGCCTGGCTTTTCTTGCCTGAAGTGGGCTGTTGAGAAGTCCCCTGAGGAGGTGAACCTGTGGGGAGGCATTTGGGGCAGTAACCTGCTCTGCTGTAACTGCTCTGCCTGGAGAGGAATGTATGACAAAGTCCTCATGCCACTGCTGGTTTTGCAGGTGTATTTTTAGTTTTCAAACATCAGTGCCTGAATCTTGCTGAGGACTGTGGCTTCTCAGAGTCTATCACTCTTATTGCAGAAGAGACTTCCTGGTTTCATTTGGTTCCTAAATGTCTTCCAAAAGATATGAATACAGGAAAAAAATGATCCTTTTGCTTGTACCTCTGTACTGAGGAGTTCAAGATAACACTTTTTCTCTCTAGGATTGTGACATGTTTATTAGCAAGTACAGCAATCAGAAGAACCCACACTGTGTGTCCCTTTACCGGCTGACAGGACATGAAGATGATGCAGCTCAAAGGACAAAGGAATTCTGGGCTACGATTTTAGATTCAGCAGGTAAAACAGAATTGTTAAGAAACTGCAAAAAGACAATCAGGAAGATGGGTGAGACTTCCCAGAGTCTAATCTGAGATTTGCTGTTGTGGGTAATTAGGCTTCCCTGTGAAACTCGCTCTTGTGTGAAAAGTTCGTGGAAGTGGAGGAGTGGCATTTTCAGCTCGATGGCAAATGAGTATAAGCTGGCCAAGAAGGAATTTAGAGTGCTAAGTTTCTAAGTTTTTAAATTGCTAAGTTTCTACTGCCAGTAGAAAGCATGTTTTACCATCAGTAGGGGGGAGTTGAGTGAGCTTGTGAACTTTTTAGCTAAATCATGCTAACAAGCTTGCTTCTGAGCCTCTGGGGAGGGCCACACGCTTCTGAGGCAGTTCTGTTTTGCTGTCTGCTGGTGTCTTTGGGAGGCAGCTCTTAGGTTTTTATTTTTCCACTGTGATTCTGTTACTTTTCATCTTGTTGCTGCATTCAGGGGAGAAGAGGAATGGGTATGTGACAGGACAGAGAAAGCTCCCATATGTCTGGGGCATTCGCAGCCTCTGCCTGGTCCCAACCACATCCACGGGCAGTGTGGGGAAGGTGTGTTGTTGAGGATGCAGCAGCACGGTGATGGGACAGGGCTGGAGCAGAGCTGTCCATTCCCTGTTAATCCGGGCTCTTTGTGCCTTCCCAGGCCCTCTTCCTGATTACATTCCCCCAGAAGTGTTCTCCTTTGAGAGCTCCACGGGGTTTACGCTCTATGGGATGATGTACAAACCTCACAATCTGCAGCCTGGGAAGAAGTACCCTACTGTGATCTTCATCTATGGAGGCCCGCAGGTGAGTGCAGTGTTTCTGAGTGGTGGGGTGGAGCCTTTGGACCCTTCATTTCCATGACACAGAATGACTTCTTACTGAGGGAACAGAGCTTAATTCGTAGAGACCTACAGCTGGGAGGAGAGATTTTGAAAAATCTACATTATAAAGCTGTATAAAACACTGAAAGGGAAGTAAATAAAAATAGCCTGAAATGGGATTAATAGTTTTGATTACATAGGGGACTGTGTCGTCGTCCTTCTGTTCCAGGTGCAGCTAGTGAACAATCGATTCAAAGGACTCAAATATTTCCGACTGAACACCTTGGCCTCTTTAGGCTACGTTGTTGTGGTTATTGACAACAGGGGGTCCTGCCACCGAGGGCTGAAGTTTGAAGGAGCCTTCAAATACAAAATGGTAAGTGTAGACCAACTGGGTCTGGTTCTTCATTTTCAGCCAGAGCCAGGTTGGAATCCTGGTGTTACCTGAGCTGAAGTCCCAGTCTGGCACAGATATCCCACATAGTTTGTGCAGTGCTGCTTAGTTTGGGGAGGGAAACGGTGTGTAGTTGAGCAGTACGAATGTGAGAGAGGAAAGGTGCTCAGCGTGGGATGGATACAATGTCAGGATTTGAGTTTGCAAGCTTATCACGTGCAAGGGGAATCTTGTTAGTAAAGGAGCTAGATCATAAAGGTCCAATCCAACTCAAGCTATTCTAGGATCTCTGACTCTCACCAGAAATACAGGTTTTATCTGGTGGCTTAGCATGTGTCTAAAGAAGGAAAGGAGTCATCTCTCTGTAACGTGCCTAGTACAGTGGAGTGCTGGTGTGTGGATGGCTGCTGCACAAACAGAAGCAGCAAAGGTATGAATGCTGGTTACCTTCAGAAATCATGAGATGTGCCTTTTGTCTGCGTCTGACAACTTCCCTTTTCTCTCTCTTCCCAGGGGCAAATAGAAATTGATGACCAAGTGGAAGGGCTGCACTACTTGGCATCACAGTATGACTTCATCGATTTGGATCGTGTTGGCATTCATGGCTGGTCATATGGAGGCTACCTCTCTCTTATGGCTTTAATGCAGAGGTCAGATATCTTCAGGGTATGTTTGTACATTGAGTACTTATTCTGGTGGTGCAAACAGAATGTTTCCTCTAATGGTGTAACCTCCCTCAGGTGGTCACAGCACAAAGACCAGTGAGACGCAGTGCTCTGCCTGTTTCCATCGAGATTTTTTCTAGTTAGGCAAGTTCTGATTTTTTAGAATACCTTCCTTGTACAGGATTTCTAATTAGGCTTTTTTTTATTAGACACTGGCTCGCCTTCTGATGCTTCCAGAAAATAGATCTTAAAATTTATTCACACTTTAAATCTAGTGCTTTCCAACAAGTCACTGTGCAGTTTTAAACCAGCATTCAGTGGATACTGCAAGAGCAGTTTTCTGCACTTGTTTCCATCTGTAGCATGGGGACGAGATGCTCTTCCTCTGTTAGCCTGTTGTCACTGTTGGGTTTTCAGGGGTGTCTGGGACTGGTATTCACCCTGAGTCTGTACTGGAACAGACAGGTGATTCAGCTTTTCAAACAGAGACAGTGAGACCTGTGCAGCCCCAGTAAGTCATGCTAATAGAGATGCCTCATAACACTGGATTGCATTTGTAAGATTAAGTGCTGCTCTTTCCCACCTCCCTGTGCAAGTTTGCAGCCTTCATCCTCAGGGCGATTTGGTGTGACTGCACCATCGCTGTGCTTCCTTCCTTTAGCTCCACGTGAGCTTGACATAATCCTGACCTGATGTGAAGGTGCTGTGCTGTCTGTGAGGCTTCCTGCACTGATGTGGGCAGGGTGCTTTTAGGTATCCAAGAAATGTAACGTGAGAGGAGTGTGAGGCAGTTCAGGTAGGCCAGTTTTCTTGAAACATCTGAGAGTTCTTGTGAGCCGAGGTGAGGAGGATCAACTGTTCACCCCATTCAGCTGAACACAGAAGGTGCTGCCTCTCTGGAGCTGTGTAGAACAGCTTTAAGCTGATTGACTTTTGAGCTTGCAGAAGTGTAACAGTGCTGCTGTAGCTTTACCAGTCTGAGGTCACGTGTGCTGAAGGTCCCTCATGTAGTGTCACTCTTGCCTGCTTTGTGCCAGCTTAGCTCTTTGTGCTGTGAATCAACCAAGGGAAATTACCCCGCTGAGAAACAGCACCACCATCTCTTCCTCCTCCCCTCTTTACTCTCCTTCTGTCCTAAGAGGATGGTTTCTTTGTAGTCTTGATCTATTCCCAGATCGGTTTGTAACAGTGTGTTCTGTAACAGCCAGGGGGGCAATCTGGCCGTGGGGAGAGGTGCTGGAAGGAGGTGCTTCTGCTTACCTGGCTTGAGAACGCTGCAGTAAATGACAAAACTGTTGTTGGGCAAGTGTCAGAGGCAGAGATGTGGTGAGAGCTGAATATTGCTCTCAGCACGGTTTGCTCTTTGTGGTTCTCCTTGCTTTGTCTAAATCCAACCTCAGTATTCTTGGGAGGTTCAATCATTACTTTTCACAACTCCTTAAGGATTATCATATAAAAATACTTGACTGGAAACGAGTTGTATTTTGTTTAGTTTTTTACTGGTCTTTTCTCACAAGCATCTCTGCATGCTGTCGGTGGGTATGCAGGAGGGATTACTGAGTCCTAGGGAGTCTTAAGTCCAGTTTCTGTTAAACGCTCTAATAAAAAGTTCTGTGACCCCAAAGGAGAGCGCTCCACGTTTTGAATTAAGTCTGCTTACCTCCAGCAGGACCTGCAGGTGGTGTGCTCAGTGCTGCTCCCGATTTGCCCATAGGATCTTCCTGCTTTTAGCAGCTGCCTGAACATAGGCTGTACTGAAGCCTGCAGACACACGAGCTGTGGAAAGGACTGCTGTGGACTCTAAGGGGAGCTCGCTAGCGTGTATCCTGAGCGCTGGGTAGCAATGAGGGAGGGAGGGACGTCCCCAGGTCGAGGTGTCAGGGTTGTCATCCCTTCCCTGTGCTGAGAGCCGTGCTGACTTGCAGGTTGCCATCGCCGGAGCGCCCGTGACGCTGTGGGTTTTCTATGACACGGGTTACACAGAGCGCTACATGGGCCACCCGGAGCACAACGAGCAGGGCTACTACCTGGGTTCCGTGGCCATGCAAGCTGACAAGTTTCCTTCTGAGTAAGTTTGGTTCTGCAGACTATTTATTTCCTGTTCTCGGCAATTAAATCTCGGAATCATAAATGCTGGTATTAAAACAAAAACAACACTAATGAGCGTAATAGACTTGAATGAACATTTGCATAATTACGGACCATTCCAAGTAACCCCTTTTATCCTAGCTGTAATTAAGACTATTTTTATGTCTAAAGAAATGACAAACACATCTCCAGTTATATGATTAGCAGTTTAGAGTCGCAGTAAGCTAGACAAAAGTTAGTTTATCAGCATGCTTTCTGCGTGCTTTCAGTCTGCATCAGCACAGAGTTGTCTGCAGAGCAGGCTGAGGCTGCAGGCTTTCTTGCCAAAGAGCAGAAAACCAGCAGTGATTCTGAGCAAGTGTTAAGCTGTTGAATTATCCAAGGTAGGAATTGTTTCTGAAAATAGTGATAATGTGCAGATAAAAGATGTGACTGTTATGTGCGTGTGCAGGAAGAGCTTGTAGAGGAGGAGAGGGTTTGTGATGAGCTGCAGGTCCATCCAGGGCAGCTCACAATAGCAAAGTTACTCTCTTCAGTGCAGCCATTTTTACTGTTTGTTCTTTTGGAAGGAGTGTTTGTGGACTGTGCAGTGACTGGCAGCTTCTGGGATGCTATCTAGAAATGTTTGTCTCTTGCTTTCCTCAGACCAAACCGTTTGCTGCTGCTACATGGGTTCTTGGATGAGAACGTTCACTTTGCACACACTAGTATTTTGCTCAGCTTTTTAGTGAGAGCTGGGAAGCCATACGACTTGCAGGTAAGGCAAGAATGAGGATGTGAAAATGAAGTGTTGTCTTTGAGGAGTACAAACAGAAGCTTGTGTTGTGTCTGTTCTGGGCAGCTTGGGATTCTGGAGTAAAACTCCAGTATTTGAGCCTACTGTGTTTTTTTTAAAGGAAGATTTATGAGTAAACCAAACAACTTCTAGGTAAATGAGCAGTGAAGGCTGCTCCCAAGGAGATCTACAGTTTGGAAGCAGTACTACAGTGTCTGTGCAGCACAGAGCAGGCTTATGTAATTAATGAAACCCTTCTGGTTGGGTGCAGATGTAGCCCAGGTACCCTGCATTGTGCTGCAGAACTGAAGCATGCTGATGTTCGTGATGGCTCCAAGCAGGATCTGCTTCTGTTCAGCGAGGAGTCGCATCCAGCTAAGCACAAGCTGGATCAGAGGATGCAGGTTGTTGTCTCCAGGCTCAGGAAGCATAGGAGGGGATGCTGAAGTGCAGACAGAGCTGCTGCACGGGGATGGCACGCATGTTTTGAACTCCAGGACCAGTTTAAATGTTGGCACTCAAAAGTTTTGTGGGTACTCATGACTTTATTTTATATTTTAGATCTACCCTCAGGAGAGGCACAGTATAAGGGTGCCTGAGTCGGGAGAGCACTATGAACTCCATCTACTGTATTACCTGCAAGAGAATCTGGGCTCTCGCATTGCTGCCCTGAAGGCAATGTAACTCACCTCTGCAGGACTCTGCTCAGCTGGCTGCTGTTCCGAATGAGGAGAGAGGAAACTAGAGAAAACCACAGAACTTTGCATTTTGGTGCCTGCCACGTGTACACACACATTCATACATAGAGAGACACTTTTTTAAAGTAAATTTGGTGCCATATAGGGAATTAAAGGACGATGGCCTAATAACCTTAAAGCTTAGGGTGTAAATAAAATCCAGTGTCTGTAGTGCAATGCAGTACCATGGGTGTTCTCTCGGGGGAGGAGCTCAACTGAAGATAAAGTACTTCCACAGCACCAGATCTTCACGTTTTAAAAAGACTCTGATCTAATCAGTGTTTTTACAGTGTGCTCCTTGACACTAGAAAGTTTACTCACTACACAGCAGGAGTTTACCTGGATGCTTACAGTGTGTACATTACGTTTTGAATGTCATTGTATAGCTTTTATGCTTCCTAAGCGGGATGTGTCTCACTCCAGAAAAGTTGGTCCCAAGTTAGACACGTCCCCTATCCAGCTTCTGATTGTTTTCTAAGGAGAAACACTTTTAAGCTGCCCTAAGAAGATTTTAAATTTTGGATTCAGTTCAGCTGATGCCAGATTCTTTTCAAAAATGGCTTTTCTTCTCAGGATAAGTCGTACTGGTTTTCCTTCCAGCAGATTGCTATCCTATCCTGATTGTACTCGATTTCAGCTGGGGAAGTGAAATGATGTTTTACTGTGATGTGAGCATAACAATCTTTTATTTGGGATGCAAACTAATTTAAGGCAAATTGCTGAGACTTTGTAAATTCTAAAAGAAGCTTAAAAGTGCAGCCCGTTCCTCACTGACATTTTTCCCTGACGTTCATTCTGGAGCTGTTTTTGCAGTACTGTTTTCTTACTGTCACATCAGCATGATGTAGATATATGCATCCTGTTACAGTTCTGAGATTCAACGCTCTGATTCAAGGGTCTGCAGAGGATTTGGAGAGGAGAGACCGTACGAAAACTACGCATCAGGCAGTGTGAGCTGCTCCATTGGATTTCCTGATTATATTCAAGGCACTGATTCCCAGGCTCTGCTCAGTCCTCTGGTCCCAGGTCATTTCCAGCACTGCTGCATAGCATGACTGTGATGCTGTGTTTGAGAGCTCCCTTCTGCATAGCTTAAGGTAACCCCTCTAAGCCTAAAGGATGAAATCCCAGTTGTGTTTTTGTTAGTGAGGTTTTAACTAAGCAGCAGGCTTGGCTAAAAAGTGTCTTATGTGAAGTTACTTTAAACTTGCAACAAGTTGTTTGAGATAGAAATCCATGGCAAAATGATTCTCTTTAATCCAGGAAATTCTCCCCTTGGGACCTGCCTCTGAGACTCTTGTACGTTTTAATGGTTTTCTTAGAAACCTAAGAACTTCCTTTCCTTTCCTTTTTGGTGCTAGAGAGAAGCTGAGCATGGTTTTTCTTTTCATCTTTTCAAAACATGGAATCCCTCTCAGTATTTATGCTCTTTGTGCTCCACACGTGCCCTTGTCTTTTCCTCGCTGTGGTGCTGTTCAGCTTGGCCATGAGACTCTGGGATGTAGCACCTTCTGATTGTATTGTATCACACTGCACATTTTGCAGTCGGGCTGCTGAGCGCTGACACTGGCAGAGCCACTGCAGTTACACAGGTGTGAAATGTTATGTGAGAACAGGATTTGGCTTGGGGATTATGCAAAAGATAGCCAAAGCAAACAGGTATGCAGTAGGTGTACGTTTCCCTGACGTGGGAGCGTTTAGTTTGGGGATTGGGGTTTCAGATCACTGTTTTTTCAGTGGATGAGTTGAAATCCCCTTAGCAGCTCGGTAGCAGCTTTGCTGCTGGGATCTGGCATGGCAGAGAGCTCCTTCTGACATCTCCTCTTTGAGAAAGGAACTGTGGTTGAACCTGGGCTGTAGTCAGTGCAGAGAGATGAGTAATTGTGCTGAAGCTTTTGGTCTGGAGCAGCGTGGCAGGGAGTACAGAAAAGTAAAAGCTGTCACGATGGAGTTCTTTTCAGTTCCTCACATGTTTATGCTGTATGATATATACATATATCTATATCTGTTCATATATACATATATGTATAAAATTACACGTGGATAGCATCACCTTTTCCAAGGTTGTTTATATTTTGTTCAATATTTAACTTGCTTTTGGGGTGTTTCTGCTCTTTTTCTAGAGGTGAGTACCCTTGAATGTAAATGTTTATGATTTTTAAGGCAAAATTGATCCTTTTGTGTAAAAAAGAAAAAAAAAAAAAAAAAAAGAAAAAAAGCCTTCATCAAGCAGTGCTTCTTTGGCAACTGAAGAACTAAATGTTATGCAAGTAAACCAGGCTGGATTTTGATTTAGCACAGGATTGTAAGTGCTGACATATAACTTTTTAAAACAACGAAAAGATGTGTTATTTAATATACCTATTGAAAAGCTATTAAGGTGCAAAGCACTGTAAGTACTCTATTTTGCAACATATTCTTTTTTTCCTACAAAAGTTTTTTCTTTTTACAGCAGCCAAGCACTTTAAGACCCCCTGCTCTCTTATCCTGCAGAAGTGCTGGGAGGATTTATCAGCAGAGCTTTGCAGTTCTGGTCAGAGATGCCTCGTGTGAGCTTTGAGACTGAGGTAGGGAGGTGCCGAGGGCTCTCAGAGCACAGATGGGTGCCTGGGGGTCGGATGCAGCAGTTGCTCTGTGCCCAGCAGGCACCTGCGCTGAGCAGGAGGGAGACGCAGCCTTCGTTGCACAGTGGGCATTGGCTCCTTCCCAGCAGTTGCACTGATGTCTTTGGAGATGAATGTTTTAACGTCTCGTACCTCAAAGAATACATGAAACCTGGGGATCCGAGCCGTGGTGATGCCAGCAGTGGCGGTGGCTGGGATTTGTTGAGGTTGTTTCTGTGGGAGCCCAATCTCTGTCCCTTCTTATGGCAGCCTTCAGGAATTTTTCCAAATGGGGTTTCACCCTTCACACAGGAATTGCACTCCCTGCCCCGTCCCTTGGTTTCCAGTGGTCTTCTATTCAGAACAAAATATAATTGGTAATTAACCAGAGCTGCTGAGTTTTTGTAAGCTCTCTTAACTTCAAAATGTTCGTTAATGAAATAATGAATTCAAGCCTCATGTAAAGCTTTGAAAATCAATTAGCTTCATTATATGGCAGTGGAAAATGCGTTCTCTGGTTATTGCTAGTTCTGTTTGGGGAATGAGAGAAATACTTTGAGCAGAGATATGGGTGCTGCTTCCTCCCCAAGCACAGCGTGTGCCACACACTGCAGAGATTTCCCAGCTTCACCATGGGGTCTCAGCACCACTCCATTGGGGGAGCACCAGGTTGTGCTTCTGCTGTGTCCGAACAGAAGGCTGTTGCTGCTGGCCTGACGTTTGGCTTCTGATGAGGCAATAATAGAGTACAAGTGAATGAAATAACGTCCCGGATTAGGATACTGCTTTGAACTGCTTGTTTACTGGAGTACCAGAGCCCTGCAAAGACTTCCCTGCACCCCTCGCGGGTCTTCGGGCAGTCCTTTCGCAGAGAGCCCTTGGTGTGGTTTTTACGTAGATGTTCTGCACAGAGTTCAGGTTTTTAATGTTAGGAGAAGTGCCTGCTGTTTGCATTAACAGAACTGCATGTCTCACTCCAGTGGGTTTATGGTCTCCCTCCCCCACCTTTCTAGCGACTTAGCTTTTAATCGTGTAAAGTGGAGACATTTGTTTTGCTGCTTTTTATTACAAAACCTTTGTGGCAATAAAGATGCTGCTAAATAAATTGAATTAAATGGTTCCCCTTCCCCCCCCACCCCCGCTCATTTTCAACTGTCTCTCTTCTTGATTTAGTAGAGTTTGTGCATAATTAGATCTCCTTGCTTTGTGCTGCGGAGAGCAGCAGTGATGGAAAATGTGCGTGTGCATTTCATGCACTTGTTGGGCATTTAGTGAAAGCATCTGATTTTTCCTGTCCGTGGTGATTAATTGATACAAACAGGAAGTTCAGGCACTTGCTTGGTATAACCACACTCCTGCTTCTTCCCATTCCTGTGTGCTGGGAGCAGCCCTTGGCTGTGGATCTGGGCACGTTCCTTCCTTGCTGCCCAGAGTGGGCACAGCCCAGTGCGGGACGTGGCTCTGGTGCCCTGTGTGGTGAGGTGGGAGAGAGGAGGGGATGCGTGCCACCTCCTGCTGGGCCTCACGGGCCTTGAGGTGATTGGTCTTTATGGGTGCCCCAGTTCTGCTTAGTGCTGACGCAGAACGGATGGTGGAGGGCACGGGGTGCTCATGTTCAACAAGTTGTGTCACTCGTTTATTGCTGACTTTTCACTCTTAGAGCAGGGCCGCCTGTTCTTGGCATGGCTTGGCTTGGAATGGACCTTAGAAAGACCTGGTCCCAACCTCTGGTCGTGTGTAGGGTTGCCACCCACATGATTAGGTTTCCCAGGGCACTCATTCTGATGGCTCTCAGAAGTGAGCTGGTAACCAGCAGTGTGATGATGCACTGCATCTCCCTCTGGGGTTTTAGACCCTACCATAACATAGCAAAGCTTTCCCTGTAGCGTTCAGGAGCCATCATACAGCACAAGCTGGGCCACGAGCATCATGCCAGCCCAGGGCCAATTCTGGAGCAGCCACAGGGCTGCTGCCCCTCAGCTGGATGTGCAGGCATCCTCACCACCAGGTAGCAGAGGGGAAGGTTTCCTCACGTGCTCCTGTGTGCTGCTGAATGAACTGCTGCAAACCTTCTGGGTGGTGGTGATTTTCATCTGTATGATGAATAAATTATGAAGTTGCTTCCTTAACTAATTGCTGTCACTTGAGCTGACTGTACCTTTGGGTATGCAGTGGAAGCAAATATTTCTCTTTAAAATAGACTTTCTGCAGATATTTGAGCTGAATTGAGGCTAAACGTGCTCCTAGAGATGAGAAGTTTGCAGGGCAGATTGAGCTTCTCATCCCAGATGGGTCGCATCCCAGATGAGATTTTTCAGAAATCACTGTGCTGGCCATGGTGTGAGTGCTGCGTGCTGGAGGCTGCCTGGGTTTTTGCTCAGTGCTCAGAGCTTTGCAAACATGAGAGCTCATTTATCTGCGTTTGTGCATTGGGTTTGCTTCTGAGTGAGCAAAGCCTGTATCCGATGTGTTTCAGGATCTTTGCCCTGAGTAGGACTGATGGAAAGCAGCCAGTACTGTTGTGTTCTGAGCAGGGAGGGGATGCTGCTGTGGAAAAGAGTGAAGCTGGAGGTGTCGGCTGTGCAGCAGACTGGCTGTGTGACTCAGAGCAAGCTGAGCTCACTGCTCTTGGCTTCCTGCTCACTGAACTGCGGATCTGAGAGGGCTGGGCAGGACCTGGGCCTTTGGGTTTTGGTGCAGTTGTAAATATAAGAAGAACTCCTGCGGTGATTGCAGTTCTGTGCCTGGATCTAATAGGTGAGGCAGCAGAGCCCACAGAGCTGTGATTCTCAGGGAATGATGGATTGGTGGCTCCCGTGTTTCCGCATCGTGCTGTCAGATGAGCACCTGCCCCACTGGGCAGGCAGACTGCTGCTGCTGAGCATCCCATCTTGGGTGGTGCTTATTTCTAGGCCAGGTTGGTGGCTGTGGGGTTGCAGGCTCCTACCCTTCCTTGTGCACCTCCATTGGCTGGCATCAACAGAGGCTGCAAACCCTTCGGGCTTTTGAGACCTCATTTCTCCCATTTCTGGCCCATTCTGAGTCTGCTCCTTTGGCTGCTGGGGAGGAATGGTACCATGGTTCCCATGGAGACTCATTCGTTCCCCTGCATGGCATTGCTGCAGCACTTCTCAGCCTTTTCAGGCTGCAGTAAA